GACTGAAAAATTTCATTTTTTCTGAAAAGGTGGTGTTTATTTACTTATGACCACGTTGTGTACATGCTTGAAAACAAAAGAACAGTTTTTACCTTTTGAAGGCTTGATTGATTAAGTTGTGTCTTATCAATTATTTTAATTGCTACCTGCAAAAGACCCAAACTCAAATTATAGTCTTTCAAGAACAAAATGGCACACACACACACACACATACATATTTATTTATTTATATATATATATATATATATATATATTACACTGAAAATAATTTACTTCATAAAATTTCTTTTAATTTACTTACTGTACACTTGACGTTTCTTACTATAAGAACAGTGGTTTATGTGATATTACATCATAACACTAATAAAGCTTTTTACATGTCTTTCTTTACTCGCCCTATATTATGGGTTTCCAATATGCAGAAACATAACAGCATTTTTGTCAAACACAAAGTGTGTGGTCGAGATATAATTATGTTTCTCACCAGAAACATGTAGTAGACTGATAGTAAAGAGATTTGTAAAATATTATCATCAGTACCATCGTGATGTCATACAAACTACTGATCAATAGATCATGCTTCACCAGCATAAGGCATTATATAAAGAACATCTTAACATGACTATTTTCTCTCTCATATGAATATATACATCACAAACTATTATATTAAGCAGTGTTTGACTGTGTATTACTGCTTAATATAGGTTGTTGCTTAGGCAAAGTAAACAATACCAAAATATAATGTAAATTAAACTAATTATTACATTAATACCAACAATCAAATAAAATGTGGGCATTATCTACCACTGCTGCATATTTAGCAGTCAAAACTATTACAAAAGCAAGCTCAATAGTTTCTCATAACATTTCATCACATAGATAACAAAGGCAAACTCATACCATTAATAAATAAATGCTACATCTTTAATTTTTAACTCTACAAACTTTCTTTAAAAAACTCTTAATACTAAATTGCAATAAAATGTGTTCACATTGTATCTACAAAATAATTCCAGAGCAGGCTATAAATATTCATAGAAAACTGAGAGGTAAAAGGTTACAATTTGAAAATTCCTTCACCTGTATTGGTATACACATATAACCACAAAACCTGTATACAAGTATCATTATCTAGTAGTTTTTTCTAAACACTGCAATGACAAAATAATGAAAAATAAATTTGATTCTGGACATTATATTTAACCAGAGTGTCTAATTATTTAATTAATGCAAATTGCATTCTAAATCTAAAGGTTTATCGCATTTTTTACCGCTTTTCCAGTTGGCAAATGTTTAGCTAATTTCACTTTTGCAAAATTTCCTTTGCCTATTGTTTTTAAAAGCTTGTATATTTCAACATGTGGCTCTTCTGATGACCTATTTCTTAAAGTGGAACTTCGTGGAATAGAGGTTGATTCTTCAACCTGTTAATAAATATATAGGTACAAAGGATGTATTAATAACTTGCACAATCATGCAGGGCTACTTTTCAAACCTACAAACATATGTATCTCATTATCATAAGATGAAAACAATACAATGTACAGATTACTTATTGATCTTAACCTTTTGAAAAACATTAATTTTGTACAAAAACTGAAAAGTTACTAAACTTGTAACCCTTAAATTTACACATTATACATATTCTTAAGTTAGTTTCCAAACATTTAGTCAAGAACTAAAACATTTCAACACAAGACTCTTACCTGCTCTGAAATGACTGATTCTTGTACAGTCTGAAGTGGTGTTCTGGTTAAAGCTGCCATTTTAAGTATGGTTAACTTTCATGTGATAATTTGGCAGTACTATGATTCTGTTAACAGATTTTTACATAATACATATATCAATATATACTTCAAGTATATTGAAATTATTAACAAAATCACAAAACTTCAAATGGTATTACACAGTTATTAGTCTTTTTGTCAACTTTATCACTCTGTTTAGTGACAACAAACTGCTATAGTAAGGCATTAGAAACAGTATTAGTATCTACAGTTTGTATTTTATGCATACATATGCTATTATTATTTACAAATACAAAAGTCTAACTCTGGATAGATGCTAAATGATGACTGAAAATACCTAATATGGTTGTAATAATAAAAAGCATTCTCATTTTTTATAATTATAGAAAGTACCTTATGGTAAATAATTAACCCTTTCAGCATGGACCAATACATTTTGCATCACTTTGACTGGGAAAGGACATGCATGCAAAAAATCATACAGTAACTCTGAGTGTTCCTCACAAAACCTCTTAAGATTTTGTTAAAGTTTATAAGTATTTTGTACAAAAAGAATGACATTATTTCATTTAATTCTTTCTAATAAAAATGTTATTTGCACTCAACTGTTAAAATAGTTTGAGTGCAAGGTGATTTTAACTTTAAGTATTAAAATACTTTTCTTTGTCTTATAGTTTTCATATTTCATTTGCATATTTATTTTCATATTAAGGTAAGAAACAACTGTAAACGTACAGTCGATCGAGCAGCCAACAATACTACAGGCAATTACATGTACTACATGATGATAACTTGGCACCAATTTCAATTAACCATTGTTAGATTATACTGTAAAATGACCTCTTTCTAATGATTACACAAATGTGTATGTAACACTTACATGTAGGCTATAAAGCTCAAACAAATCTGTTGAAAGTAGCCATGGCAGCTGTCAGGGATTGAAAAAATTTATTACTTTCTTTAACTGTATTAATTCAGAGAACTTTGAAATGATCGATTAAAGGTTATGTAAGCATTTTATTGTCTAGATGTATCTCTACTCAACGCCCATTGTATTATTGAAGATATAGAGAGCCAAAGTAGAGAATTTGCCTAACTCGTTGGTCATATGATGATACATCTAAAGTTTTAAGTAGTTTTTAAAAGACTTAAAACTTAGATAAAATAAAACTTTGAATCATAACATAAATTATAGTGTTAATTTGAGTCACATACACTGAGAGTAAAGGTGTTCAATTAAATTTTGAATGTAACACAGTGGCTTGTGCAGAAAAGCATTTAAAGGGACTCCTCTTGAGAAAAGGTTAAAAGACAAGAATGTTTATTTAATGCGATGTTTTAGACATGTTTTATTTGAAAAGGCTGATTTTCTACTTGTAAAAGGTTATACATACTTAGTGGTGGTTGAGTCTTAGTCTAGGCTTATGCATTATATATATATATAGATAGGGAGAGAGAGAGAGAGATAATTTAGTTACACAGAAACTATAAATGTTCAGTATATTCTCAAACAAAACCTCATGACAATCTCCAGCTGCAACTTAACATTTTACATCTCAAACTAATGCAATCAAATAGTTAATAGCTCCAGTAAATCATCATGACCCATTTTTGTTATCATTACAATGTTTAAAGTTACCTGCATGTCAAGTACTCCTTTGCCCTCAGTTGAGCATGACTTCAAATGTAGCTCAAGGTAACAGCATGGAGTCAAAATAGAGGTTTGTAGTTTGAATAAATAATGTATACAGTATCTCCAGCATTGTTTGCTTTCTTTTTTTTTTTTATGATCCCTATTTAGAGGTTTTTAAATTTCCAATTTTGTTATAATCTTGTGATATTTCAATTAATGATTTTGTAAAGCTTCTTTTACCAGAATCTCTAGCATTTTTACCACTACAGAAATAAGACTGAGATTTAATCAGTACCTTACAGAGTGAACTAATGACTTCCTTCAACAGAAAATAACATGAGATGGGCTATAAATGTTCTTTGAGATTCAAAAATTTACCCTTAGTTTAGTTATCTGAATAGTGCTTACCATTCAAATTGATTGAAGAAATAATTGAGTGCCTTCCATTTAACAAGAATATACAAAAATACTAGGTGACAAAAAGTCATCTGGCCTATAGAGGTCAGCCCAACTTAAATATAGTACACCTCACATCCACGATAATGTTCAACATAAATTTTAAAAGTATTCTACCTACCAGTACACACTACATCAACTGGTATACCATTCCATAGGTTAATAACTCTTAACAGGGAAACACTTTGCCTGATAACCAGCTTGGGCCAGAGCTTCCACTGCTCATACTTAGTTTACCTAATTTTCAAGATTTTATCTCCAACATTATCCTTCCACCATATAACACCCTTTTCACACCCAAGTAAGTAGTTGATCCAAACCCCCTAATAATATTAATACCTGAATCATGTCATCTATATTTCTTCTATGCTCCAAAGAAAAAAAAAACCTTCAAAGTACGAGTCTCTCTTCATAGCTTAAATGTTTCAAAACAAGTATCATTTTTGAAGTACATCTCCAAAGTTAATTAAAGTAAGCAATTTCTTTAATAATAAACTGGACCAAAACTAAAACACCTTAAATCAAATGAGACCTTATCAAAGTTCCGCTCAATGTGATGATAACCTCCCTGATCCTGAACTCAAAATTTCTATAATTTCCCAGAACCCCTATTTTCATTGTTCACCAATACTAAACATTCAGCCAAATACTTTAGCTTTCATCAGTCATTACACAAATCCTTCTGACCCTCCACAACACTAATATTTCTCCCATGTAAAAATTTTATAACAGTACAACTGACACATGTAAATCAAATATACATATAGTATCTCAAAACTTCTAATCTGACCAGACAAATGAGATCAATATCAATGGAAAACTGTTTAATGACAATAGATATGTTACTAATAAAAATAATGATAACATATGAAAAACATGAGACCATTTGGTCTTTTGAGGCTATCCTTACAAACACACCCATGAGGAAAATTTACCCCAAAACTCATTTAAAGTGCTGCCTACACTACTACCAAAAGCATCCATCCTGATGAAAAAATCAAACTGTCTTAACAGGAACCTAGCCCATCTTTTCCAAATGTTAATACTTATGTTCTCTTGTTCTATTATTTTCAGAATATAGCTAAAAAAAAATCAGGTCTTTATTCTGTTGATCCATTGGATAATCTTGTAAAATTTATTAAGATCATCCCTTTCCCTTCTTTTCTCAAGAGAATAAAAGGTATGAGATCTTAACCTATCCCTATAACCCTTCCTTTCTCAGATTCATTCTAGTAGCCCTCCTCAGAAACCTTTCTAGTAAGTCATCCATTTATAACATATATAATTTAATGACAACAAGGGAATTTTTTTTAGAACATTTACGCCATCCCATCCACTAAACTTTAAAATAAAATTAAAACAATCAGAGCCAGCCCTTATCGTTCAAGTATTTATCAAGTCTTCCGTTACATTACCTTAAATTTACTGCATCCACATCTAAAAACAATCCATTTCAAAAGCCAACCATCCTGTTAGAAACAAAGCTGTTTTAGCTAAAGATCAGTCTATCCATGCCAAAATTTATATTTATGTCTCCTAGTCTTACCATTGAATATGAAAAAAGATGAGGCATCAACACTATCAATTTCCTTTAGAATTTTAAGCACCTCAATTAGACACCCTCTTGTGAAATAGCAAATTCTAATTTTTTTTATTATTATGGTTGTGTTTATCTTTCATTTATTATTTCCTTCTATCATTTAATTTAGCCATGAATTTATATTTGCATTAAAATGTGAACTCACCTTCTACATAATCATTTGCATTTTGAAAAAATATATGTGTGTGTGATAACACTAACACCAGTTTCCCTTGCAGTGACATACAGATACTTTTAATGTAGCAAAAGAGTACATAAATTTATGATCACATGAGGTTGTACTCTCGTCACCTACTCTGTGAATAAATACCCTGCCAGAAGCTTCACTAAGAGAGAGTCACAAGATAGTTACTGAAGGATATAGTTATTGCTGTATGTCAATCGATATTGTATTAATATTGAAAAGTATTGTTGGAATATTGTATTTGCTGTATATTTTTTGGAAATAGGTTTTTCTTTGTTTTTTTCTTCCTGATTACATTATTATTTATGATAAATGTTTTATTAATAACTGTGTTTTGGTAAGTGTTGAAACTATTTCTAAGTATTGTTGG